AAACGTGCCAAAAGCCCTTCAGCAGCTTGGATGTCATCCCTGTGGACGCTTTTCTGTAACAGCAGAAACACTGCCTGACACAAATGTGTGAAGTGTGCAAGGTAGTGGTGTGGAAGTATGCTATGAAGGCAAGGCATAGCATAGTACACCATCCAGTACCTCCACTCTTTGGCCTTCCATAGAGCTCTTTCTCTAACCGATCGTGTGGCCCTAGCGAGAAGATTTGGGGGACGGATCATTGGCAGTCTACGGTCTACAGCAGCCATCTGGTTTCCGATGTAAAAAGGTGCGCCTGTGCTTGTAAACCACAACTCTGTCAGTTGTTTCGCAACACCTTCAAGTACACAATGCATGTAATCGGGCACTATGCCCCAAACCAAATCAAAACCTTGAAGTCTTGCAATGGGGCTCGGTCCGTACATGCCGTGCTTCGTGGTGCCTGTCATCACAGCCGCTTTCACGTCCTGCAGCACACCTCTGTGCGTCCTTTCCGTCACACTGGAACTGTAGGGGTACTTCAGAGTGCCTAGAAAGAAGAAAGATGCAAATGTTGTGAGACAATGAATGATTACACACTATCACAACCAGTACTCGATGTAAATCTGAGATTATAGGACCATTTTTGATTCATCGTCATTCCCTTCGTTTTTGTTATGCTGGGCGGCTTCGATGCTCCGCGGAAGGTGTCACTCAATAGCAGAGCCGTGGTCGCAGTCTTGTGAAAAGTGATATTCCGCCTCGTTAGATAGATCTGCCGTCCTATTTTACATTAAGCACAAATGAACACCATGCAGACTACCTCTGCATTATGTCGTACATAACTTCACATTTTTCTTAGGTTTCTGTAATTGGGCATGAAGGTGGTAAAAACACCAACACGGATGAATATAGAGCAGCCATTTTGGGAGCTAGGCCCCTGACATGATGACAGTCGTCACAGAAAGGTTAAAATGTAACCCTTGTTTCCAGCAAGATGGCAAATCAATGGGAATTTTAGCAGTAGAGCTAAAACGACATGCTTTGACATGTGCGTTTGCGACATTACTGGACGATGCTCTTACAGCTCGTCCCATGGCTGAGTTCCACGACAGAACGACCCAAGCCAAGTTGCTAAACAAAAGAAAGCTAATTCCCCTTTGAGACGGCACGTTAAATGACATTTAGGCAAAATGACATATTACAGCTTGGCCAATCCGCATCTTTAATATGGCACGCTGCGCATGCACACGCGACATGCAGAACCAGGATCACAAGGTGATTTAACAAGCGGTGAAATGACATTCAATTAAAGGGGCCCTGCAAGGACTTTTTACTGGTTTTTAATTTGCACCGAACCTGAGCGCACTGAACGTAGTAACGTAGTGCAACTTTTCTTTTCTCAAAATTCGCTTTAGTTTAAAAGTTATAGGCAAATTAAAATTACAAAAACAAGCAAAAAATAACCTCTCTCATGACGTCCTTGGTTGCTTGACTGGCCGTGAACTAGGGGAGGGGTAGTGGACTCATGGCGAGCGCTCACGGCTGCCCGACTCCGTGTCGCCGGCGCGAGAGGGCGCCACTAGAGCATATTCTGGATAGGCTGTATGCAGCAGGCAGCCAGAACGGCTCTCATTGCATTTGCTGCGCGATTAAACACTAATTCGGCATGACACTTCATTGGCCACAAACGACAGCAAAGACGGGGTAAAGATCTGTTCAAATGGGAGCCACTTCGCGCTGCCATACCGCGAAACGGTCAAACCGCAAAACAAAGCAGCTCGCCGAAGGCCTTCGGAACGCTCGGAGCTGGTCGGATTCTCCAGTTCGTAAACGACCGCAGCGCCGCCGCGTACATCCGTGATCTTCCCGTGCCGGCACCTGATGCCACTACTCCTTTCTAGTATGCGCCGCCTTTTCCGTCGCTTGGTGGCGGGTATGTCGACGGGTCATTTCTTGTTTCCGTACTTTATAAACTGCATTCGATTCTTTTCTGATCTAAACTACTGAACAAAAAACTAATTTTATAAATAATTGAAACGGTTCGCACCACTTATATTTTGTATTTCTACTAAAAAGAAGCTTTTAGCTGCTGTGACCAGTGATAAGCCCAGGACCTAAGACGTCAAATATCGCGCGCTTTCGGTACCGCGGGTCGCCTCCGTCGGTGGGGGAGGTTTCCGCGCCGTCCGGTTAAAATATGATGCACTGATATTTAGCTACTCTCTCCGTGCCCGCTGGCTTGCCTGAGCTCTGAGGGACGTGGAAACCGCAAAAAAGGTAGACGCTTAAATATGATTGCAGGGCCCCTTTAAAATGACATTTATTTCCCCATCTCACTGAGATATAGAAGCTTTCAGGCAGCTGTGCATGGGCGCCGCCATAACCAACCTTCTGTTTTTGTTCCCTCTTATTCCGTTCGCTCCACTTCATCATTGCTGCAGCAGGAGAGGTTATTGCCATTTTAGACGTAGCTGTGTTCTTCTCCGTAGAATACGCCTTTGTGGAGGCTCGTCAAGGCCCGCTTCAGTGGCTCGGCATCTCGGTAAGACAAGAGAAGTCGGCTATGGCGGTTCAATCCGGCGCGTGCTGAAAGCGCCTATAACAAAAGCAGCTCTGAAAAGCTCAAGAACACTGTTATGGTACATTGTCACAATTAAGCCTTGCTCCAATACTCCAATTAGTTTGCTTCAGGTCCATAGCTTTCGCTGTTTGCCAAGTTCAACAATTCACCGACTTTGACCTCATACCGAGCATCAACAGATTAGAGGTACGCCGGAGCAACGAGCAACATCCATTTAAATTGAAACTACTGCAATTATTTTGCCAGTGGTATAAAGCTTTCTGAGCTGGGCAGCACTATATATTGTCTTACAGTAGATTTAAACTGAACCATGGTGTCCGGAGATAACGGTCTATGATTTGAAGGACAAGGAACCATTGCTGTGAATATTATACTCACCATCAACCAGAGTTCCTTTGTGGTAGCACCACGGACAGCCGTAGTAGCCATTGAATTGCTTGCGGTTTAGCACTGCTGCTCTGGCAGGAGCATCCGCGATGCAACACACCGCATGGACTTTGGATTCAAGAGCCCGTCCGTTCTTGTGGCAAACCTATTTGATTGCGCCGATTCTGCGAAATTGTTCCACAAACCCGTCAAGAAAGAGTGACATGACTGGCTTTTTCTTGCCAAACCAGATTCCACCAAGCAAGAGGCTTTTCCACCGGAGGATGGGGGGCAATTCATTGAGCATTACATGAATGGGCCACATGGAATTTTTGCTGGACTTGAATACTGGAGATCCGTCAGTACTGAAACTAGCAGTGAGATCTTCCATTGCCCAGCCAAACTGTTGTCGTGCTTGGTTCACAAGGTCTCCGTCAGCCAGGTCAGTGAAAATGTCCCGTGATCTCTGGGCGATCTTTTCGAGGTTGTCCCACAGAGCCTTCCTGCAGTTCTTAACCAGGTCATGACATTGTTTGCGCAAGTTGAAAATGATAAAAAATGTGCCGTTTGATGCCATTTCTTCTGCTCCATACAAAGTCTTACATTGTGAGCACCTCGCCTTCTTGTCTTGTAGGGGCGTCTTGCAAACCATGAGCGGTTTTGAGCACCTGTCGCAAAAAAAATGAAAATCCACCATGCCTTGCTGACTCTGCTTCCACACCTTCCGGAATAGAAACTTTGACTTTGGAGCCACGAAAACGCCGAACAGAGTGTTTACGAGCCTCAACAGGCCCTCAGTCTGCTCCATGAGAGGCCGGCGGACACAACGTAGGCCAAAATCAGCAACAGAACGTGCCCTCGGGTCGAGTCTTGGCCAGGAATAGGGGGCCCACTGCACAGCTCTTCAAAAATTTTGAAGTCTGACTCATCTTCGCCGCTGGTAGTCAAGTCGGGATCCCCTTGCTCAGATTCGCCACCGCCACTCGACGCCGTTTCGTCAGTTTCGCTGCTTCCACTCGTGTCACCTGATGCCAGCCCATCTTCGCTGGTGCATGAGTCGTGAAAAAGCTCTTCATGTTCGCTCGTGTCGTCGGATTCATTGTCGCCATCAGAAGTGGCTTGCTCATCGCTGGTGACGCCCGACGTGATTTCATCCTCGTTGGAGTCAGAGCTCTGGTTAGAGATTTCATCCTCGTTGGAGTCAGAGCTCTGGTCAGAGTCGTCGAGATCGTAGCACCGGCTCGAATTATCTCCGTCCCCTGACGTTTGTGAAAGGTTGATGAGCTCTGCTGCACGCTTGGCCCTCGCCGCTCGGTTCGATTTTGTTTGCTTAGGTATCACATAAGCCTGATCCGGCCCCATGTATACCTTCCTTCTTTTCTTCGCTCTTGGCGGCATCGCGCTGAACGTTACTATAACAAGTCGCGCTTGACTTCGCTAGCGGTAACAGTAGCGACAGCCGATACCCGAAACGAATAAGGGAAGAAGACCAGGGAAGACAGCGGAAGATCTCGTTTTCTCTAGACTAACCGGATGCTGAACTTCGGATGCTCTTTGCCGAGTCTGATTGGATAGTTATTTCCGGAAACCGAAACCAGGCGTCTGCCGACGCGCAATTTTGCTCACAATAAATGGTGAAAAGGCTGGAAAATAAATGAAGCTAGTTATTGTATGGAAGCGACAATTAAACATTAATAACAATCCAAGACGTCTTTTCTTATCAACCGGGTCTTTTTCTCTCTTGGTTTCGGTTTCCAGTTTATTATGCAACACCAAGTCATTGACACACTGGTCGCGATCCTGTCGGTAATATAGCATCATAAATACTCATTTGATTAGAAAATAGGTATTGATAAAAGTTAAAAAAAAAACAAAAAACGTCACTTTTTTTAGTTTAAATATTTGCAGACAACTAGCGCCCCCTGCCAAAATCAAGAAAATACTTATGTAAGAACTAGCCTTACTGAAGCAGGTAAGGGGTCAGGGCGTCGCGCGAATACTGAAGCTATGTCTAAAATGTTCGCGTTGGTGCGCTATGAGATCGACAACACGACAGCGGTTGTCTCCGCACGAAATACAAAAGAATTCTGCCCCGTAACCTGTGAGGATTTTAATCCAGACTTGTTGTATGACGTGTTCTGGAGCGGCAACATGACAACGAAAGGCGGCTACTACCACGCTCAGATTGTCAACATGGCAGGTATGTGGACGATTTCCCCGACTCCTCTTTTTACAAGTAGCTAATTGATTGTGGTGCACATCAACACCAAATATACCTTGATTCACCGATTGCAGAATCCGAAGAAGAACTGCGTGATGTAGCGAAACGAAGACGGAAAAGGCCGCTCTGTAGCGCAATGCCAGCAGACTTCTCCGAGGCGCGCAAAAAGCCTCGTTCAATAATGGTAAGTTTTTTTTTTATTATTATTATTTTGCTTTGCAGTTTAAACGTTCGGGAAATTATTGAGAAGAAAATAGGATTAATAGAATACAGTAAACTTTTGTTAGCTCAACCTCAGCCATTTTGAGTTTTCATTTAATTTGATCAATATTCAACAGTCTCGGAGAGCGCCCGTACATTTCTATGGGGAAAAAGAGCTTCTTAGTTCGAACATGCAAGGGCACCGCATCGCATAATTAGACTCCAGCGAATGCATGCCGGCGTAGTTGCACAGTATCAATGCAGGAAATGAAGTACGGCTCCACGGCTGCACGCCACCAGACCGAGTGGGCTGAACTGTGTTCTTAAAATTATATCAAGTTGACTCCCACCTTACGTACTGAGAGTAGCATCAAAAGCTATGACAGTCGTGAAATACTGACAACACAGCCATTTTTTTTTCATTGTGACCGTGTTTGTTGCAGCTGCTTTTCCTGCTTCAATTTCCACTCTTCTTTGAGTGAAAAATGAGAAGTCGGCGGCTGTTCGCCATCGTCTTTCACACACTTTAGCAGCCCATAATTGGACTTCTTTAAATATAGTGCCCGGGACTTCCTTAAATATAGTGCCCGGGACGCGTCTCGGATGTGTGTTTACTCCTATACCCCCGTGTTTAATGTGGTCCCGAAGTGGTAACGAAGGGGCTGCTGTGTTAAATCTTTATGAGTTCCTGTACAAAAACTTGTAGGCAGCCAGAATACCGCATTCACAGCCATAGCTGTGCTCTCCTTCACAGCATTGAAGTTTACTCCTCGCATGATTGATTTGCCAGTGTGCGAGAATTCGCGCAGCTGAAGTCGTAGTACATGAAGCTTGCACATGTAGCTTAAAAAAATTGTCTCGTCCTAGTCTCTGGGTTTTTTTGTCAAATAATGTTAAACAGCACCAGCTCCGGTTTGCACTAACTTTTTGTTCAAGGTATTTCTGTAACTTGCACTTTTGTTTTGTATCTGTGACCTTCCTAGCACAACAGCAATAGAGGCTCCTTATGCCCTCAATATGGTATTTCTTATGGTAAATTTCGCCCGTAAATTTCAAGCGCTTTTGGACCTCTAATTTTTCTGTTTGTGCAAGTGCGAGCTAGCATGTACTGCTTTAAAGCCGTAAGCATGAAGCTTTCCGGGTCACTTCGAATCTACAAACGGAAGTTATCATTGAAAACATTCTCTAATATCTTTCTCGGCACAGAAAAAAAAGAAAGCGACAAATGACAAAGATGTCAACAAGCGCCAAAGAGATTTGGATCTGCTCCAAAAGATAGAGCATGAGAACCATGACCTCGTGCCCCGCAAAAAGTACATGGAGGTACTACGCAAGCTGCACGAAAAAACAAAAGCTCTGGAGCAGTGCCAGAAACTAAATGAGCAGCTCCAGGAGGCACTCTGCACAAAGATAAAGAAAGCAGGTAAGTTATTGCATCTAGTTCATTCGCAAATAAATAATCATTTTGAGTTCCAAGCCCCAGGCATCATGTTTTTCAAAGCATTTTTTGTATTTACTGCCATGAAATGTTATAATATAAGTTTTTATGTTTCAACTACTTACATTCTCTTTCAATGCTGTTTTCCTACAATGGTTTCTCTAGATTGCTTCCAGTGCCAGAAGGGTGGAGCAGAGGAGACTGCTCCTCTCTATTATGTGGACTTTGAAGGGCAGGGGGATGCCAACGAACCAGGACTAGACCCCGCCTGGTTAAGCCTAAGTGCAATGACAGTCGAGTGCAATATAAGAAAGGTAATTTGGGAAATTTACGTACCAAACCATTAAATTTGCAGCCAAAATTGCTGCGCTGATTCCTGTCAAAATGTGCAGCAATTTACAGTGCCTTCTATTCCGTTAATGTTTCTCCGTAACTGATGTAATACTAATATAAAATTCTATGTCTAATTATGATGTTTGTGGTTATGTGACTTTGTGCCCTGTAATCAGATTAGTCCTCATATTAGGACTAATCTTACATGATAACGTGACTCAGTGCTTAGTTGTGCATGATCGCGGGACACGTTCTCACATAAGATTAGGCTCAACGTTTGGCTAAATACCTAAGATTAAATGATCATATAATCATGTGTGTCACATAATCATGTGAGTTTAGATCATGTGATTTAGTGTTAGGTGATCAGATTATGTGAGTGGCTCTCTGTTAACACTGTTGCTTGACACTCGCCTGCTTGCCTCTACGGCGAGCAGACGACGCTTGCACAGCACGAGGAAGGCGCAGAAAATGCTTGAATTTTTTTCAGATTCCTGTGCTACCCGTTAATTAGCTTTCCCTCTCTGATAGACCAACACGCGGCCCTGACGTCATGCCTCTGTGGTGGTGCTGTTGTCGCCACGGCGCATGCGCCGGAGCTTCAGCTCGCTCGAATCCGGTTTCTGCGCTTGCGCAGTGCCCACACCCGTTGCGGGTAGATGCAGGCTTGTTTGTAAACAGGGTGTCTGTCTATATTTTATTTTCTCAAGAGCCTGTGCGCACGTTTAATGTGCAAAAGACGCCTTTTGGTGCCTTTTGCTAATTAGTGGTTTCAGACAGAACCCACAGCGACCCGGCGACCGACGCGCAAAGTGAAAAGGGTTAGCTCAGAAATGCTTTGCATTTAAAAAGCATGCAGCATGCCACACTAAAGGACCAGGAATTGCTTTAGACCGCCTTGAGATCTTTTGGTATGTAACCGAAATTTTAGTTACACCTGATTTCTCCACATTAAGCCTTAGTCATATTGCACTCACTTTGGACGGGATCCGAACCAGCTAACTAGGGATGTGTAGGCAGCGCTTTTGCCTCGGAGCAACGTATATGGCTAGTTGTAGTTCGGAGACCAGCATCAAATGAGTTGTCAAGCCCAAATGCTTTGTGTTTCAAATCCTCAGGTGAATGCATCATACGACAGTGCTTCCCAGGCTGCTGTGTCCCAGCCAGCAGCTCCTCTACCTGCACGGGAAAGTGGCGAAGCCGAACTTGGTGCGGTGATGGTAAGATGCTTTTAGATGCTTTTCAGTTAATGTTACATTTCAATCTATAAACGATCGGAGAAATAATTGATGAGAAAATAGGATTCATACAGTACAGTAAAAGTTTGTTAATTCATCCGTAGCTATTTCGAGTTTTCATTTAATTTGATCAGTTGTCAGCATTCTCAATGAGCGTGCTTACATTTCTTTGGAAGGGAGAAAGCTCCTTAGTTTGAACGTGCAAGGGCACCGCATCGCATAATTAGACCCGAGCGAATGCATGCATGTGTAGTTACAGTTATAAATCAGGAAAGAAAAAAAGAGATTTCGGTTCCGCGACTGCGTGCCACAAAGCCGAATGGGCTTAAGTGTGTTCTTAAAATGCCATTATAAAAAGTTGACTCCCATCTTATGAACTGAGAAAAGTAGAAAAGCTACGACAGTCATGAAACAATGGCAACACCACCCTCATTTTTTTATTACATCCGTGTTTGTTGCAGCTGCTTTTGCTGCTTCAATTTCCGCTGTTCTTCAAGTCGAAAATGAGATGTCGGCTGCTGTTCACCATCCTCTTTCACGCAATTTAACGGCCCATGATCGGATGTCTTTAAATGTGGTGCCTGGAACGCGTCTCAGACGTGTGTTTACTTATGTACCCTTCACGTGCTTAATGTGGTAACAAAGGGGCTGCCGTGTTATGTCTTTCTGAGTTCTTGTACATAGCTACTGTAGGCAGCCAGAGTTGCGCATTCATCGCTGTAGCTGTGGGTCTCCTCCAGAGTATTGAACTTTACTCCTTGCATGATTGCTTTGCAAGTAGTTGCTTGTGCTCCTTGAGAATTCGCTTATCTGAGGTCATAATACATGAGGATCGCACATGTAACTTAAAAAAAATCTTCATAGCTCTAGGGGAGGCTTTTCTGCATAGCACTGAAGCTTTGAATGCTAACGTGCTCAATTTCGGCCAGTATGGCATGGCGGCACATAAAAGTACTTTGGAAAATAAACAAGCAACTCGGCTGCCTACGGTAGAACCTTAATCTTTTTGCTTGTCACGGTCTTGGTGGACGGAAATGGAAGTGCAGTCAGAGAAATTGAGTGTACATAAGTGTTGCTGTCTTCACAGTTACTGGATGTTGCAAACCATCACTTCGTACATTGTCGTTCACGGGACACATGCGGCGCTATGTACAGTTTGGCAGGCGTGTCGTTTCCCCCTGCACGATTGTGCCATGATAAGTATCGTAACCAGCAATAAAATGATGTAGTTCTGACATCACAAGGCAGAAATCGAGGGACCAATAATTAAGATGTGGTAGACAGACCAGTCGGACACGCATGTTTTGGGCATACCGTAGACATTAAAGGGCAACTCCGGCCAAAACTCAAAATGAAATAAATTACTGGTATCACTGTAGTGACACAAATACGACCCCAGCCAAAATATTACATCCGTGGGACGCCGCATTCTCAACTAATGCCGAGAATAAAAATGCGACCCGCCGCCAGCCGCTGCTCCTTAGCGGGCGGCCAGCGGGTTGCCGATCGCTAAAGCAACATTGGGCCGTGACGTCACTATCGTTCTTTTTTTTTTCCTCCGGTCCGGGCGTTGCGCGGAGCGCGCTTCTTTGAGCCGCTACCACCGCTTCTTCGGCTTATGATTGGCGTGTTTAGCCGTTGCTTTTATCTGTAGCCCGTGTAGCTTTTGTTTATTTGCTTGTGAGGACTCTAAGACTCGTGTTAGCGAGCAACTCGGAGCGCCCAAAACTGCCCAGCTGTTCCTCGAAAGATGCCGAGTGCAACTTGTAGCGCTGTGGGCTGCTCAAACAACCCGCTGCGCAACACGGACGTGCTTTTTCACAAGTTTCCAACGGACCGGAAACTGTAGAAGGTGTGGGTGAACGCTGTTCGACGAGTGGACTTTGGACTTCGGCTTTTACGCGCCCGAGGAAAAAAGAACAAAGAAACAGACGTGTACAGCCCAGCACACGTGTGTTCGGGTGCCGCGGCCCGCGCCGGAGAGCCTCAAAGCTTCGCGTCTGGAAGTGACCCGCAGCGCAAAAGCGAGAGGGCCCCCAGTACTGTACATCACTGGGAGCGCGGCTCCGTGGATGGAGCAACGCCGCACCATCCACGGAGCCCCGATGACAATTTAGGCCTAGCGACGAGTACGGAAGACCGCACACACGGCCACAGCCTCCGACTACGGCAGCGAACGAGTTCACTCGTTTTCCAGTCGCTAGCTTTTGGGTATACAAGCAACGAATACGGCATAGCACACACACGGCGGTGGCCGCCGAGTACTGCACCGTACGAGTTCACGGGTTTTCCAGTCGCTAGCTTTTAGGTATATGCACTAACTCTTGCTGCATATGCTGGATAGCTACCACGTATACAGAATTAAAACAAAGTCAGCTTACCTCCCATCTTTAGACGGCTAGCGCAATAGAGGTAGGTGCCATTCAGACTTCGCACTCGTTGAACGAGAACGATCCTGACGTCACGTTCACATAGCGGCTGATTTCCAGTGTTGCCGGAGCCTCGAGCGGCTAGTTTCAGTTTTGTTGGCCGCGCCCCAAATAAAACTTTAAGGCGTCGATACCTTTAAAACTATGTACAATAACGAGAAAAAAATTACACCTTGCAATTCAGGGACGCTGACTGCACTTAAAACAGTCATAATCCCAAAATCGAAAGCATGGACCGGAGTTGCCCTTTAAAGTGAATTGGATTGGGCTCTTTTTTTCATTTTTCGTTTCTTTCATTTAAGTCGTCCGGGTAATTTAAACAAAAAGTTTACCGCAGTGTATAATGAATCTAATTTTACTGTATGAGTAAAGCACTGCTTGTTACTAAAATGAAAGTCCAAGGATATGATGAGAAGTAGCCATTGTGGTGTCATCCTGAGCGCATCATCATAATATTGCTGTACCATCACTGACTGTCATTCACTATCTGACCTGCGTACGTGACTCGCCTCGCTCTCCGCTTATCAGTGATACGGCGGTTGGCGATATATACGCGCGCGGAATAAAGGCTGGGGGTTGTTCTGCTGGGAACTACTTGGTTGGCTGTCACTTTCTTCATCGTGCCGCGAGACACACGACATGGTGTCAGAAGTGGGATGATGCTTCTCGCCCGTGTTGTTTTGGCGGCCCTCGTCTTGCACTCGGTTTGCAAGATGGAAGTACCTACAGCGGTCCCTCCTGTGGCAGTTCCTCCGCCCAAACAATTCAACTTCGACCGAACTTCAGAATGGCCGGAGTGGATTCAAGAATTCGACGATTTCCGCTACGCCGTGGGTCTCAACGAGAGGTCGGAGGAAGCCCAGGTGCGGACGCTGCTGTATACCATGGGAAGGCAGGCCAGGAAAATTTTCCAGACGTTTGGCCTCTCGGAAACGCAGTCTCAAAGTTACGATACAGTGAGGAAGAAGTTCGACGGCCACTTCGTAGCCACAAAGAACGTGGTTTACGAAAGCGCCTGTTTCCATCGTCGCAAGCAAGAGAGCGGGGAGAGTGTCGACCAGTTCGTTACCGACCTCCACGTGCTCGCTGACCGCTGCGACTTCGCACAGTTCAGAGACCGTATGATCCGTGACCGGTTCGTCGTGGGACTTGCCGATGCAAAGTTATCCGAAACCCTCCAAATGGATGCCAGCCTCACTCTCGAGATGGCACTAGCCAAGGCCCGCCTCAAGGAGACCGTTCGTCGCCAGCAGCAGGAGCTGCGTCCTCACTCAGATGCAGCGACCTCGGGGGAAGTGGACGCCGTGGGCCAGCGGAGTGGACGCACTGGAGCACCCGGCAACATGCACAGTCGGCTGCCTTCACTTCAGCAGCAGCAGCAGTGGCGGCTCTCCGAGCAGCACCACCAGCTCTGCACGTATTGCGGACGTCCGAACCACCTCAGGACTCAGTGCCCGGCGCGCTCCGCGCGTTGCCACCACTGCAATGCCAGAGGACATTTTGCTGCGGTGTGCCGTAACAAGGTTGAGAAGCCGAAGGTAGGCGTTTCTTCGCTCGAATGGGACCAACCTACCTATTTTGTAGGATCAGTTGGCGCTTCGAAAGCTAGGTTTGTTCAAGTGTCAATTAATGGCGTGCCGGTCTCCGCAAAAGTAGACTCTGGGGCAGAAGTGTCAGTTGTTCCGCCCAGCTTCCCAGGAGCACCGCCTAAGTTAACGCCCTCCTCGGCACAGCTGACTGGCGCACGAAATGAGCGCCTTCGCTTGAAAGGCACGTTTGAATCTGACATTTTTTGGAAGGGCAAAACCACACGACAGACTCTGTATGTCGTAGAATCGGCACATGCAGTTTTGCTAGGTCTTCCCGCCATAGAGGCGCTCGGTGTGGTGAAATTTGTAGATGTGCTGGAAGATTAAAATTATGAGCAAAGGTACCCCCAGCTTTTCTCTGGTCTTGGGGCATTGTCTGGCGAGTACACCATTCGGTTGAAGGCCAACGCGATACCTTTCGCTATTTTCACGCCCAGGCGCATTCCCATTCCTTTAAAGGAGTCTGTTAGAACGGAGTTATCTAAGATGGAAGCCAATGGGGTGATACGGAAGGTAGATGGTCCGACAGAATGGTGTGCAGGCATAGTGCCTGTACTGAAACCCTCTGGCGAAGTTCGCCTCTGTGTAGACCTGACGCAGCTGAATAAGAGTGTACTGCGCGAACGCTTTGTCTTGCCAACAGTGGACGATACTTTGGGCCAGTTGGCGGGAGCTACGTATTTTTCGAAGCTGGACGCTAACTCTGGGTTTCACCAGATAAAGTTGGCAAGGGAAAGCCAGACATTAACAACATTCATCACCCCGTATGGCCGCTATTGCTTCCGGCGATTACCGTTTGGAATCAGCTCGGCACCAGAGCATTTTCAAAAGCGAATGGCCGAAGTCTTGGACGGGCTTCCGGGAGTAGCAAACATGATGGACGATATTTTAATTTTTGGAGCCACAAAGACTGAGCATGATGACAGATTGCGCGCCGTTCTCGAACGGTTGAGCACTGCCGGCGTCACCCTTAACCGGGCTAAGTGCTCGTTTGCGGTTCGCGAAGTGGCGTTTTTGGGCTACGTTGTTGGCGACTCGGGTATCAGACCAGACCCCAGAAAGGTACAGGCTATAACAGAAATGGCCATACCTTCGTCAGTTGCAGACATACGTAGATTTTTGGGCATGGTTAATTACTTGGCGAGGTTTGTGCCGAATCTCGCTGAAATATCTGCACCACTGCGGGAGTTGCTGTTGAAGGATAAAGATTGGTGCTGGGGCGGGTCGCAGCAAAAATCTTTCGATTCATTGAAGGAGGTTATTTCTTAAGCCGATTGTGTTGCGAAATTTAATCCGAGGCTTCCCACTGTAGTATCAGCCGATGCATCATCGTTTGGGATCGGCGCTGTATTGGCGCAGGTGCAGCCAGATGGTCAAAGACGGCCAGTTGTATATCTTTCTCGTTCTTTAACGCAAACCGAGCAGCGGTATGCTCAAATAGAAAAAGAAGCGCTGGCATTGACGTGGGCAGCAGAACGGTTGGAAGGTTATTTGAAGGGTCTTGACTTTCAGTTTGAAACTGATCACAAGCCTCTGGTGACGCTTCTTGGGAAATCGCCGGTAGATGTGCTTCCGCCGAGAGTACAAAGATTTCGCTTAAGGCTCATGCGTTTTTCTTTCTCAATATGTTACGTACCCGGAAAGCAGATTGTTACTGCGGACACCCTCTCTCGGGCGCCCCGCAAAGAAACCGATTTTGTTTTGGGGGAACTGTCATCTGAGGACGTTTCTAGTTTTGTAGCCGGCTGCGTCAGTGAATTGAGACTGTCGGCGCACCTCGACAAAATAAGGTTGGCACAAGAGCAGGACACCTCATGCCAACAACTTTTGCTTTACTGTCGCAATGGTTGGCCACGCTTCACAGTTGTGAGCAGTTGGTTAAGGCCTTATTGGTCAGAAAGAGCGAACCTTACGATTTGTGATGGCGTGCTAATGTATAAGTCTCGCCTTGTGATTCCTCAAAAACTCAGAAAGGAAGTTGTGGCTTCATTGCATGAAGGTCATCAGGGTATTGTCAAATGTCGCGCTAGAGCTCGCGAGTCGGTTTAGTGGCCCGGTCTCAGCTCGGAGCTGGCTTCTGTGGTGAACAACTGCCTGCAATGTGCAAAGCTCCGTGTTCAAAGAGCGGAACCGATGCTGCCCTCAGAAACCCCCGCTCTGCCGTGGCAAAAGCTAGGTGCAGACCTTTTTCATTTTAGGGGGAAAGAGTACCTCGTTGTGGTTGACTATTTTTCACGTTTCCCTGAGCTCGCGCTACTGTCGTCAACGACATCTGCCGCTGTCATTGTGCAATTGAAAAGTTTTTTTGCCAGACATGGTATTCCAGAGCTTATTGTAACTGATAATGGTAGTCAATTTGTATCTACAGAGTTCAAGGCTTTCTCAGAAAGCTACCAGTTCTGTCACGTGACGTCGAGCCCTCGGTACCCGCAATCTAACGGAGAAGCGGAACGCACAGTTCAGACAGTGAAAAGGCTGCTAGAGAAATCGGCGGATCCATACTTGGCACTTCTGGCTTACAGGAGCACCCCAGGCCCTCTCGGAAAAAGCCCATCGGAATTGCTCATGGGCAGACGCCTGCGCTCTACGCTACCTGTGCACCCTAAAGAGTTGACGCCGTGCACCGCAAGAGGCCTTGCGAGCCTCAGAAGGAAGGATGAGGCGTTCCGTGACAAACAAAGGCGCGACTACGACCACCGCCATGCGGCCAGGCCACTTCCACGGTTGCTACCTGGAGACCAGGTGTGGGTGAAGGACTGTCGAGCCCGGGCTACGGTTTTGAGACCAGCCTCCCGGCCAAGGTCCTATATGGTGCAAACAGAAACAGGAGCAGAGCTAGAGAGGAACCGCCGAGGCCTGGTACTATATAAGGAACCAGCACACGAAACAAGCGGTTCCATCACAAGCGGTTCCCTCTATGAATTTCCGCAGGATTCCGGGGAAGGGGAAAATGGAGAGTCAGAAAACGAGGCGAATTTGACAGAGCCTTCCGCGCTCAATTCTGACTCAGCAGCTCAAGAAGAGAGCGGTACACAGGGCACGTACGTCACGCGTTTTGGTCGGCCCGTGAAAAGGCCGCAATTTTATGGGTGTAGCTAGCATCACTAAGTTTGTTTTAGGTGTTCCACTGTTTGTTTTTGGGGGCAATATAGTTCAACTGTTGCATTAAAAAAAAAGAAAAAAGGGGAAATGTGGTGTCATCCTGAGCGCATCATCATAATATTGCTGTACCATCACTGACTGTCATTCACTATCTGACCTGCGTACGTGACTCGCCTCGCTCTCCGCTTATCAGTGATACGGCGGTTGGCGATATATACGCGCGCGGAATAAAGGCTGGGGGTTGTTCTGCTGGGAACTACTTGGTTGGCTGTCACTTTCTTCATCGTGCCGCGAGACACACGACAGCCATCGAGCAGGCATTCCAAAATATGAATCTTTTGTGTCTAATAGGATAATTTTCGTAGAATCACATATCCTGTTGGTATACGTAAACCTCAATTGTTTTCCGAGCCCCACTGTCAGGATTCAAACCCGCCAAACGGCAGGTTTGTAAGTCCTAGCAGAGCTAGCTTTGAGTGGGGCACGAGCATCAAATGAGTTGTTAATCCCAACTGGCCTATGTTTCCAATCCGCAGGTGAATGCATCCCAGGCTCCTGCGTCCCAACCAAACCGTCCACCAGCACCAACAAGTGGGGAAGGCGAGTCGCGTGCTATGATGGTAAATTTCTTTTCAGTTAACGTTGTACTGCAGACTATTGGAGAAATCATTGAGAAGAAAATAAGATTCACACAGTATGTTAAAGCACTATTTAGTACTCACTTGAAAGTCCAAGGATATAATGAGAGTAGCCATCGAGCAGACATTCTAAAATGCGCAATCTTTTGTGCCTAATGGGATCGTTTTTATAGAATCGTGTAGCCTGTTGGTGTAGACCAGGGGTGGCCAGGTTGACCCGGCCTAGGAGCCACAAACAAAACCACGAAACTTCCAAGGGCCGCGGGGGGGCTTGCTTTTGTTTAGAGCATTAAACAAAGCTCGAACTGCGTACAACTCACCCGAGTCAAAAGCAGTCCAACTGTACGTAAGGTATCAGTAGCACAAGACTACCAAGCCTCAACCTGTCTTTCATTTTAAAACGCGTTCAATTTCTCTATTTGGGGAAGTGCTCGTGTGACCGGGAGGGTGGCGCAGGGGAGGGGGGGGGGGGGGGTTGTATGGGAGGGAGCTGCGAGCCGCACTTTAACACGCGAAGAACCGCAGCTTGGCCACCCCTGGTATAGACCGTTTTATCGTGAGTAGTGCCGTTTTGAGAGCGAGAGAGAAAAGGGGAAAGGGCTACTGGCGCTTTCCTCCTCTCTGGGTGTGTAGAAAGAGTGAAAGTCCCGGCTGAGAAGCTTGGCCGGTGCTGGGTGTCTGCATTGCCGGAACTTTGTTCGCGCTTCTTCGTTTTAACTAAAGTGGCAAAGCGGGCGAGTTGGTTCATGACTTAGAAAATTTAAAAGCGCTAACAAAGACGAGGACGAACAGGACCTTCCTTTTTCGTCCTCGTCTTTGTTAGCGCTTTTAAATTTTATAACTCTGTTTTAAACTCTCAAACTTAATTAGTCACGGGCTTCAATGGCGACAAACTCCCGGTCATCGGGACACCATTGCTCGGTGGTAGAGTGTGCGAATAACGACAGAAAGCGTCGAATACTGTCCGAGGACCTATGTAGCTTGCATGGAATCTGGCAAGGCGAGTTTGGCTGCAATGTGTTTAAGCTCCATCGCTTTCCGCATGACTGGAACTGATGAACCGTTTATCAATTTTCCTCGCAATGTACCTATTTCAACGTAGCCGTGTTTAGTAATCAACAAGCGATACATGACACGGGAAGCTCTATTAACTTTTCTAAACACCCGGAGCTGCTTCAGATCGTTTTGCTGCGCTGCTTTTATCTTGCGTGTCCGTTTTCTTATATTTCCCTGTGGATGAACGACGAAGACGTTCTAGATGTACTTATATCGAACCGCAGAAAGCCTCAAAGCAGCCACGAATTATTTTACTATTTGATGCAATATTTTGAGTACTCGCCTCCAATTTCTATTGCTGGCACGTTCGCTGCCGCTGTTCCCCCCGTCGCCACACTGGTGGATGCCATGACTCAAAAAAAAAAAGAAATGTGCACATTAGGCTCGAAAACGGATTGAGAACTAAAGACTTAGACACAGACAGGACAGGACATACACAGAGCTGACTATCAAATATTTAATACTTCTTCCTCCACCTCCTCCTCTTCTTAGTCCCTTCGGGAATTCCACGATTGCGAGATAAGATGCACTTTTTAGAATTTTTTAAAGAGAACAAGGCATAATAAGGAGTATATATATAAAAAAATAAACCATAGACGAAAAGAAAAGCCTATACTACATGAATGAAAATTGAAAAACTATCCGCAAATGCCCAAGCTAACCCCATACATTTCCACTTCCAGTCACTGACATCAGTATCCCGTGGATGTTTTGAGAACTTCTTCCCATGACTGTCCTCACGAGTCACTGGCCCAAAGCCGTAACACACCGTAGCTATTGTTTTTCTTTGCTGTGCAGCGTGATGGACGGACGGATGGCAATCGGGGAATGCTCGAAGGGACTAAGAAGAGGAGGAGGTGGAGGAAGAATAAGTATTAAATAGTCGATAGTCGTCTCTGTGTATGTCCTGTCCTGTCTATGTAAAAGTGTTTAGTGTTCAAGGTGTTTCTTACAGACTTGTACCTACTAGCTCAACTCAAACCGGTTATTCGAAAATGGAGATCGTAACACACAAGACGTACCCTGCAGCGAATATCCAGCGCTTCAAAGTGCCCAATCAACGGACACAACCCACCAGGGGCATTGCAAGGAGCACCTTTGCCGGCACTCTGGTATCGCGCAGGAGATTGTGATTCAGGAAAACCGATAGAACTAACTTTTCAACAATTTCCAGCCACACCCGGCGGCGGAAATGAGCCTTCAACTAAGTGTTGTAGATAATAAAATCGAGCCAATGTCACCACTGCGAAATGTCAATATTAAGATAAATTCGGTTACAAAATTTTACAAGCTGAAACAGCAATTATCACGAGAAAACTCGCACGCACCTTTCGAGTGTACCCCATGTTCATCGGCGGTACAGCTTTCGGTGCGCGCTCCATTACAAAATGTTCCGAGCACAGTCGAAAGGATGACGTTGAGGAAACGCCTTTCCGGTTTATGAACGCAATCCACTGCCACCAGAGACCGGGGTCATGTGGAAACTTAGCGATGGAGCTTAAAGACATTGCAGCCGCTCTCGCCTTGCCAGATTCCTTGCAAGGTGCATAAGTCCTCGGACAGTATTCAACGCTTTCCGTCGTTATTCGTGCACCCTATCACCGAGCAATGAAGTCCCGATGACCGGGGGACTGTCGCCATCGAAGCCCGTTGCTCTAATTAAGTTTGAGAGTTTAAAACTGAGAAGAAAGCGCGAACGAAGTTCCGGCACTGCAGACACCCAACACTGGCGAAGCCTCTCATCCGGGACTTTCACTCTTTCTACACACCCAGAGAGGGGGAAAGCGCCGGTAGCTTATTGCCCTTTTCTCTCTCGCTGTCTTTCAGTAAAACGGTCTAATACATAAGCCTGAATTGTATTCTGAGCACCACTGTCAGGATTCAAACCCGCCAGAAGGTGTATCTGTATGTCATAGCAGTGCTAGCCGTGAGTGGGGCACAAGCATCAAATGAGTTGTCGAGCCTAACTAGCCTGTGTTTCAAATCCTCAGGTGAATGCATCCCAGGCGCCTGCGTCCCAACCAACTCATCCACCAGCCCCAGCAAGTGGGGACGGCGAGTCAGGTGCTACAATGGTAAGTTTCTTTTTACTTAACATTGTACTGCAGTCTAAATGATTGGAGAAATCATTGAGGAGAAAATAGGATTCACATAGTATGTGTAAAGCACTATTTAGCACTCAACTGAAAGCCTAGGGATATAATGAGAGTATCCATCGAGCAGCCATTTTAAAATAAGCAATATTGTGCGCCTAATATACATTTTATTGCATATACTGACCAATAGACAACCTGGGATCATAGGTGTCAAACATAGAAAAGAAGGGTGTATTAGTACAAATGGCATAACATGCCCCTGACAAGCGTAAAAGCAAAATATAAATATCAATGGTTGCTCAACCCGCAGCCGAGCCCGACGCGAAATGTTATCTGGCAAGTGACCCGCGCTCCGAGTGAGGGGGGGGGGGGGGGGGGGGGGGTTGAGGCAGCTGAACCAGATGTGCGGCAGAACAGCCGGTGAAGCAGCAACTTGCACCCCTGGCGCCGACTTCGCTTATCTAGAGTGATTCGGACAAACGAGCGAAAGAGTTATGACAGCAAGCAGTGGGGGTAATCATCTTGAAGGACCCCAGAGACTAGGAGACAAACGGGACAACACAACCTCGCCTTTGAGACTGTGTTTTGTTGTCCCGTTTTTGTCTCCTAGCTGGTGTCTGGGGTCCTTCAAGGTGAGAGGTTTGCTTATACAGTGGCGAAAAATATAATGTATGCCAGGTGAGCACTTTGCTTCGAAGCAATTCAGTACTACTAATAAAAAAAAATTGAGCTGTGACAAGGTTTTGTAAGTTGTTTTCGTCCCTCTCTTGGGTGGCCAATCGGCTCGCAGTCAGTGCCAGTTTTGGCACAAACCATTTCTCGTTCATTATTTGATGACCTTATCACCGACTTTCCAGGTGCTGAATACTCAATACTTTTCCCCTCACCTATAATAATCTGCAGTAAAAGCTATGCTCTGCCAGGTCTGAGACGGCATGGTGTACTGCTCTGTCTGAGCCACGAGACGTATTGCTACGACTCCTCAGAGCAGGGCTGCACCCAGGGGGTGGGGGAATTTTGGGGTTCTGACAATGGCCGGCAAACTGGCTGGTTTCTACTACTGTTGTTTTAATTAGTGTTAATGATCGAAAAGTGACAAGTGTTTTTTTTCTTTAAAAAAACTATTGTGATTGCTCGGAAGAAAGAAGTAGTCGGGCTTGGACTCAAAAAGGTCTGCACATCTCGAGTGGTGACGTTTGTGCTCAGTGTGAGCTCGGACCTTTTGCAATATTTTTATAGTCAATCTTTTTCACTGTATTAATTTCATCTGTTCACCCAGGGTCACAGGTTGGGACATGTGATTTGCAAACAAGAGCTGGAGCTGTGTTGTGGACACGGCCTGCCAATTAAGTAACAAAGCCTGCCAGTATTTTAGGGAAGAGTGCAATCAATATACTTAAAGAAGCACCGAAGTGGTTTTTAGAAAAAATATTTTTTGTATGTTACATTGTTTAAAAGGTTTTAATACACATATTAATTTCTAGATTACAAAACTGCTTATTTCTCTTGGGGCAATAGAACATGTGGACTGATGTTTCTCTCGGACTACATGGTCTAGATCAGGGGTGGCCAGGCTGACCCGGCCTGAGAGCCACAAACAAAACCACGAAGCTTCCAAGAGCCACGGGGTGGAGAGGGGGGGGGGAACTCAAACTATTTTCAATCTATCCGAGTCAAAAGCAGTCCAACTGTACGTTGGGTAGCAGTGGCACAACACTACCAAACCGCAACCTGTCTTTCGATTTAAACCGATTTCAATTTATCTTTTTGGGGAAGTGCTGGTTGACCGGAAAAGAGGCGGGAAAGTGGGAGGGGGGTACGGGGAGGGAAGGGAGCCGCGAGCCACACTTTAACACGCGAAGGGCCGCATGCGGCTCGCGAGCCGCAGCTTGGCCACCCCTGGTCTAGATCAATGAAGGTCCTACAATACGTATAGATTCCAAACAATTTTATTATGACTTGTTTTGAAAAATGTCTTATGGCACACGTTCGGATAAGACTAGGCTTTTTCATTGTGGGCGAAGGCATCGCTTGCGATTCGGTAAGAAGCACCCTTCGTCGACCACTTCGCTTGTCTTGATTTTAGGAAGCACTTTGTATTTTTCAAAGACGGTGCAACTGCCATCTCTGGAGTGCACCCCTAGGTGACCCGAAACAACTTTAATATGTTATATTTGACACATCTTGTTTGACCGACTTAACAGGGGTCACAAGATAATAGAATAGACCACTCCCTGCACACAAGTTACAAATTGATTTTGTTTTTTTTAGTGCATCCAATCTTATTTTTAACATCTGAATTGACTTTTCTGCAGAGCCGGGCTGCTCTTTTGGTGCTGAGAACACAACTTTGACATTAACAGCACCAAATAAGCCGGCTGGGCTCTGCAGAAATGTTAATTCAGATGTTACAAGTAAGATTGGATGCACTAAAAACACCAATATCAATTCGTGGCTTGTGTCAGGGAGTGGCCTATTCCATTCCATTATCTTGCGGCGTCGTTATTTTGGTCAAACAGGAAGATGTGTCAACGATTGACTCGGAGAACACCAGTATAACATTTTAAAGTGGTGTCGGGTCACCTAGGGGTGCACTGCAGAGATTGCAGTTGCGTCCCTGTCTTCGACAAATACCAAGTGGTTTTTAAAAATAAAGACAGTGTCATGCGTGAAATAATAGAAGCTCGTGATATCGTGAAACTGAGACCAGATTGTGCTAGCGCCCCGTCGCTCGTGCTTTCTGATAAAGAGCGGCAATACTTGGAGCGAGGAGGGCAAACCAGTAACAATCTTGTATTGAACACGTGATATGTATTTATTTTTTTTCCTTCATTTATTTGGTATTGCATGTATGCTATTGGTACTGAATGCTAACATAAATCTTTAGATGAGAGTCAGTGTTGTGTCTTGTCGGTGACTATTTTCACTTTGTCCTTGTCTTTGAACTGTTTTTTGTTTAATTATATCTGTATACCAAATAGCCCAAACTTCTGTGATAATCACTTCAGTGTCCCTTTAATAGTAATTAATTTATGTGATAAAGCAGTCATGAATATTTTAACAAAGCTTGGTTGTTATTGATTGATTGGAAATAATTGATTGATTGAGGATAATTTAGTGTTTTGTACTTTGTATGTGAACTTGTTTTTTAGTGAGATTCCAGAATGACAAACTATTTTTTTATGGTTTTTAAAGAGATGGTGCCATCGTAAAAAGTGGACAGTGTGATATCCATTATTTTAGTAAACTCTACTGTGCTAAATAATGCTTTCCCTTTGCAGCATGCATAGATCACGTTTTATGTATACTGTGACCTACAACTTAAGTACAAATGTTTGTTCTGTGTATAACATTCAAATAAAAATTTGATTTCATCCTACGTTGAAATCTTATCTTGGTCAATTGTTTGCAACCATCTGGGCCTGCCATGCAGCTTTTTTAAAGCTGTAAGTTTGTGAACACCTGTACTCCATTTCATACTTCGTACGCAATGCTGTCGAGGCTACTTGCACGAGCATGTGACTTTATCATGAGCTTTGTGCACGCGTTTGGACTTGGTGAAGCCATTTGCGCGTGTCAGTTGCCTTGACAGTGTTGTACACTAATTATGAAACGGAGTATAGAGAATTCAATTTCTGAGGGGCTAATGGGTCTAAAGGGTTGATAGGTCTAAAGGGTTAACGGGTCTAAAGGGTTGACGGGTCTAAAGGGTTGACGGGTCTAAAGGGTTGACGGGTCTAAAGGGCTGACGGGTCTAAAGGGCTGACGGGTCTAAAGGGTTGACGGGTCTAAAGGGTTTGAAGGTCTAACAGGGTCCCATAACACATCAAGGCTGATGGGTTATTTTCAATAGGGGTCGTAAGAAATATTCAAGGCCCAGAAAATCAGTTACTGTAGTACGGCGAATGACAGCTGTCAAAAATATTATCAAAGGCAAGTCCTCCTATAAACCCTATTCCTGCAATCCTCACAGCCCCCATCCTTCCTGGTTTAGCAGACACTAGGAAGGCGAACCTTCTCATTGCAAATACACGATCTCAATCAATCAGTCATGCCGAAGGTCTAAATCAGTAAAATCAGGCAGAGTGGCGACATGTATGTGCTGAGGAAAATGCTTACATCTGGAACGCTATACCCAGCTTCCATCCGGGAAGTTGTGCGCCTGTCGGTCCGGGCCCGTCCAGCGGCCCCTTTTAGCCGCGTACCTCAGCTGAAAAGGAGGGCGGGCGTGTCCTGGACTAGAGGGATGCCATGTCACAGCACAGGAGGAGTCCAAAGCATGGAACTTTTGGTTGTCTTCCTGCATGCGGTCAAGGCACCCCTCTCCAAACAACTGGGGCCCTTCGTCCAATCATGCAACTTGCCCGCCCTTCCCCTTCAGCCTAGGCGCTAGTCGCTCCAGGACCAGCTCCCGCCGCTGGTTCCGAACAAGGCTGTCGGTATGCGACAGCGTGGAGGTGGCAGCCCCTACATGGCGGACGATCGCTTCCTTGTCTACTGGTCCCTCAGTCTGGAGGGACTTAAAGATGCCCGCCAGAGGACCAATGACGGCGGTGTTCGCCACTTGAACGCCTTTCAGCGCCCTGCCGCAGGAGAAGTTGAGGCTCACGTTCTGGGACATTGAGTGCCGGAGGACGTCGTCGTCGATGGTGGGGACGACGAACATCGCCCCTTCAGTCCTTCCGTGGTGTTTGGCCTGCCGACAACGCTCTTCCCTCCCCTCCGACTTCCATTGCTTTTCTAGAAACAACGTCTCCAGGGGGGGCTCAGATTGCGTTGCCCTATTAGCCGCCTCGAGCCACGGCTGCTGGGGGTCACCCCTGGCCTCGTCGACAGCGGGGCGAGGCAGCCCCGCCAGAGGCTGCAGAGACGCCAATATGTCCTCAATTGCAGCCAGTCGCTCTTCCATCTGCATAAAAAAAAGAAAAAGCTAAATCAAAAGCTCATTGAGAAACGTATTCCGTATCCTTCTACATGAGCTACCGCGATGCAATACCGAAAAAAATGTCATAAATTGCTCATAGCGCATCACCATTCCGAGCGAGCGTGTAACATTTAAAGTGTAACATTTTAACCACTCAAGCCAAGTTTCTATGCAAACCGTCACAGTCTATTTTATTTCTGCGATTTCGTTTTCAGAACCTAAACGATTTGGTATAGACGACGACCCATAGCAGTACTACGGCGAAATAAGAATCGTCACATGTTATTTTCGAAATAGCCAAATTTTGACTGTAATTGTAGGTTCAATGGTGTTGACAGCATATATCGGTATCATCGCATCATGGTGGTTATTACTTTGCATGGCGTAAATCATAATATTCTCAATCTGGTTATGTTAGCTATATTTCGCTTTAGTGCGGCAGTTGGACTTACTACAGGAGAGAAATATCAGCCCGATTGAAATAAAGTTGGAACTATCGCCTCTGAAGAACATTCTGTAAACGACTTAATTTTCGCGAATCCCGCGAGCAATCCCGATAAACTACAAACACATTAGAATCTCTATTGAGATCCCACCACGTCACGAAAATTAGAACTCGCGAATTAATCCAAAACTTCAGCTTTTACCTAAATAGCGAAATATTGAGCCCGCGGAAAATAAGTTTTTACAGTATATACCTTACCATTTCACAGCTGGGCCCAGTGGGAGGTGTCAACAGGATCTTCAGAGAAGCCTAACCGCAGTGAAGAAAGTCTACGACCTGCGTCTCTTTTATACTGCCCTGGAAGTTCTCAACAATCCGCATACTATCTTTTATTTTTATCCAGCTGAACGAAAGTTTCACGTTTTACAATACGGCTTCCGCACAATCTTAGCCAAAAGCAAAATAAATAAATAAATATATACATTCATTTTTGTTTGTTTCTCCAGACTTTTGCTATTTTAGTTCCTTTGTAGCGAAAAAGCCAGGAAACGCTCGGTTCTCTTTTTCAAGATAGCTACTGTAGCACTTCGTAAAGACAATGAACTGCCCAGCAAAGGTGCTCAAAACAGGCGCGTTCTTAAACGGAAACTTGGAAGCACAATTCTCTAATTCGCAGAACTGAGAACAGGGCGAAAGTCCCCATTGGTCGTACTGTGTCGAACATAGCCAAACGGCTTTCGACAGATTGGCTAGGCTAATCTCAAGGTGCGGTCGGGGCCGCTAAAGCGAGGGGATGTACAACGGATGTGACATTGCGACTGTGCCTTGTTTACCGCCAAGCACTGAGGATCAAAACACGAACTATGACAAAACGATCGCTCAGAGGAAGAAGCATCTGACACTGCAACGCAGTGACAGCATAAAAGCGAAGCCTCGTGTGAAACGTGTTGGTTGCTCTACCGTGGAAAGTGTAAAGATTCGGAAAGGA